GCATTTCCTTAATGATATCTGAGGTTCTTTCCAAAACTTTTCAATCACTGCCAATTATGAAAATTGTTATTTATCCTTTTTAAATCTCTCACCTGTTCCATTAGTGTAACCTAGACTAGCAGTTTCAGCTACTTAGATCAGGAAAAAGGAAATTATATGCTCTCTTATTCCTCTTTTTCTCCCCCATCCCTTGGTTTAGATTATTGATAACAGAATGTAAACATAGACAATATTCTCTTTGTTAAATGACTTCAAGTCATGAGAGACAGGTTCCCTTTCAGCTGTTGGTGGTTTTCTTTATACTACTCTTGTTTCTCCATATATTTAGTGGCCAAATGCTGGTGATCATTAAAAAGTCAGGAAACAACAGATGCTGAAGAGGATGTGGAGAAATAGGAATGCTTTCACACTGCTGATGGGAGTGTAAATTAGTTCAACCATTGTGAAAGACAGTGTGGTGAGTCCTCAAGGATCTAGAACCAGAAATACCATTTAATCCAGCAATCCCATTACTGAGTATATACCCAAAGGATTATAAATCATTCTACTGTAAAGACACATGCCTTTGGTTCTTCATATATTTCATGGCCAAGTGCCGAGTCTTTTATAGGGTCTATTTGTCAGTTTTTTAGAGGATACTGGAGTTTCTCTCCCTATCCAATTCCCTCAAAGGAAATCTGGCTAAGGCACAGTGGCTCTTTTCTTGCTGCCTGCAGCTGCAACCATAGAGAAAGTCCCCCATACAGCCTCTTGCTGCCATATTGCCCCCTCCCAATAAACAATGCTTTTGAAGTATAGGGCACAGAACATACAATGTTGCTTATATTTAAAACACTATAATGGCCCCACACTAACAGGAAATGTAAGTCTTATCCTTATTATGTCAGAGACTGAATATAAGGGCTGTTTCCTGACAATCTCTATTATCAGTTCCACCATCTCTTCTGTCTTTACCATCACCATGAAGTCTCAGTTTAGTGATGTAACATTTGGGCAAAATAAAACACCATTTCCTGTCATTGCAATGTCCTCTTCCTCTCTGAGAGCAGATGGGACAGTTACACCTTTGAGAAGACTCCATTTGCCCAAAACATTCTGTCCTCTTCCTCAACCTCATATATTTCTATTTATCAGTGACCAGTCAACTTAGTACAAAAGGAAATTTCATGAATAGGACCCTTGAAGTGTCTAATAATATGGTCCTCAAAATACATTTTCTACTGTACATATGGTCCTGTTCTTTAAATATGTGAAGCACAAAAATATATCTTAATCAGTAACTCTTGTCTATTTATATACACATATAAAACTAATTAATTAGCTTATTATTTATAACATATTGAGAGTTGTTAAGATTCTGTATGGACACAAACACAAAGTTGATCTTTTTGGAATTGATATTTAAAGTTTATCATTTTGATACTCAAAGTATTTTAGATATAATTATTTGAGAGCCACAACAATAAAAAATAACTGGAAGTTGTTACAAATGTGGAAATGTAGAGTTTTTACATGAGTTTTCTGAAATATTAAAGTCTCCAAAGGTAGATCATTCTTTAGTCCAACATTAAAAACTATTCTGGGTAATAACCTGAGGAAAAACATGATCAGATGATTTCTTTCCCCAATACCTAATGAAATGAATAAAATGTGATAAAATAAATATAGCCAAAGGCAGACAAGGAAATAGTTATGTATGTCATAAATTTGGAAGGAGATATAAAAATGAAGGCAGTATTTTCATGTGGTAAGTCAGAACCAGATTTTGCTTTCTTAAATTAAAGATTTCTGGCTGAATACATTTAGTGTAATTCCATATTTTGAGGGATTGGAGGAAATCATGAGTTACATAACAATCATTTATAGCATGTACCTTTTCAGAACTGTCCAACCTCTTAAAATATAAAATTTCTGAAAAGAAACGAATTTAAAAAAATATGTTTCAATGATGCATTAATATGTAGAGAAATGTACTTAACATAGACTTACACAAGCAAAAATTGTAGAAAAATTCATTGACAAGTGGAGGTCACACCAACACCAAAGATGCACAGCAATTGGGTTTGACATTTTCCAGGGTTGTGCACCGAATAATAGCAGGCCAAATGTGAATATGTCACAGCTGGAGAGTGGACTGTGTACCTGGCTGACTGGAGTGTGCTTTGGTGTAGGATATTTAATGGATCTCAGAAGAAGTGGAATCTAGCCAGCATCAAAGGGTATACTTAAACCTTCAAGTTCTCTCTTTTCCCCATCCTCTCATCCCAAGGCCATGGAAAGAAACACCCAATGAGAAGTCTAGATGAACAAAAAAATGTCAAAAGTTTTGTGAAACAGTGACAACAGAAATGCACCCACAACCTTTCTGATTAAATAGAATGAGCAGAATACTCTGCATGACATACAAGCCGTATAAAAATAATGACATAATAGCCATATAATCATTCTTTGGAAAATAAAAATGAAAAAAAAAGAAAAATAATATTGAATTTAACAAGTGGCTAAAGTAGATAAGAAATCCAGTTGGGGGACAGAAGAGTAAGCTAATCCCCATAAGTGAGTCATATGTAGAGGATAATCAGTAAAGCATACATTTTTTCAGAAGAATTTCACAAAGAGATGACAAAACACAATGACATGAAACTGGGAATTACAGAACTAAAGATTAAAAAAAAAAAAACTTGAAACAGAATATTGAATCCATTTAAATCCAGAACTAAGAGTATATAACTGGAAGCAATGATTGCAAGACAGAATATTAAGGTTATAAATCAAGAAAAAATAGTAATACAAGCACCAAAAATTAGTAGCTGAGGGGTGAAGCAAGAGCAAATGTAATAACATCAATATTAACTGAATATCAATTTTGTATAATTAATATGTGCAAAGCACAATAGTGTTCCATTTCTCCACCAGGTACAGTGGCTCATGCCTATAATCTTAGCACTTTGGGAGGCAGAGGTGGGCAGATTGATTGAGCCCAGGAGTTTGAGACCAACCTGGGCATCATGAAAAAATCCCACTTCTACAAAAAATACAAAAACATTAGCTGAGCATGGTGGTGCATGCCTGCAGGTCCAACAACTTGGGATGCTGAGATGGGAGGATCACCAAAGCCTGGGAAGGTCAGGGCTACAGTGAGCCATGATCATGCCACTGCACTCTAGCCTGGGTGACCCTGTCTCAAAAAAATAAATAATCATAATGATAATAAAAATCAATTTCTCAATGCATTATCTCATTTAATCCCAAAATCAACCCTATAACTAAAGTGTCTTCATCTCATTTTATAGAAGGCAAAATGACTAAGAATGGCTAAACTTAGTAATTTGCCCAAGAAAGTAAAAAGGCTGAGATTCAAATCCAATCATCCTGACACCAGCTTTTCTTCTTATAGATTGTTTAGTGACAATAACCTCATTTTGAATTATTATTGCAAGTATAATTTATTTTGACTTTACTATTTTTCACCTAATTTGCTGTTAAAAAAGAATATATAGGTATTTTTATGAAAATGAAGTCATTACACTGAAATACAAACAAAAGCAAAAACAAAAGGGCATTAATATAAAGCCAGGAAGATGAATGAGGTGAAATGATGTCTTAGCTCAATCCTTAGGTCAGTAGTAACATTCTGAGAACCAGAAAGCTCTACTTAAATTATGTAAGGGTAGGCAGTACAAGGCTGCTAAAGCAGAAGTAAAATGCTTGCCAATGTTAGTGACAGCCAATTCACAGAAGAGCTAATGTATATTTTTATAAAAATTAAAGATTTTTCAAGCTAAATATGCTTAATACAGTTGTATATTTTGAGGGAGTAGAAATGATGGATTATATAACAATCATTTATGAAATACGCTTTTCAAAACTAAATTGATACAGTACATAGTCCTACTGAAGTTTTCTTCATCTTCTTATTCAGTCAGTATTTTCCATTAAAACCTATATATTTAATCAATTAAATCAAAAAGTTTCATTGGGCAGTATTTGCTTGAATTTCATTAACTCGCTTGTATTTTTTTATTTCAAATGAGCAAACAGTTCATTTTATTGCAGCAGTAAATGGACATAAATATGTTCCCAAATGCAATTTTCCATTTTGAACAGAAATTTTAAAATAACGAACTCTGCAAAATTATAATGAAACTACCCTTCAGCCCAGTTGCCCTACCATTTTTAAAAATAATAATTAGAATGACCCTAAAATAAGAAAATGCTGAAAAAACAAAATTATGGCTTGGGGAAAATTAGTAGGAAGGATTTTTAACAAAAACAAGTAAAAGTGCTTGCATGTCGACATTTTAAAAAAGAATTTATATATAATCCTTATAATGTGAAACTGTGGAAAAATTCAAATAAAAAATTGACAGCTACCTGCCAGGTTTTAAAGTATTAATTTTTAATCTTTCATTTTCTCTTTACTCCCATATCTATATGCATGAAAAATTACTGTTACCAATCCCTTAGGGCAAAGAAGTTCATGAGCCTATACTTACCTCTCTCCCTGTATATTTAGTGAGTGCAGAGTTCCAAGTTTGAAGGTCAACATGTTTTGAGAGGTTTAAGACCAAAGAGAAAGGGAAATAACGAAGATGGAAAACATTTTCAAAGCTGGGCCATGGTTGTACTAGAAGCTAAGGGGTTGCTTATTTTATCGTGTTTTGTATTGCCTTTCCCTTTTGATTATCATTACTGAGGTTGAATTTTCGTTTTTGAAAGTGTGGCAAAATGCAAACATAAAAAAGTCTTAAAATAGGAACATAGCTTAAATATATACAAATAGGAAATATAGCAAGGGCCTGAAAGAAATATCCAGCCAGATACAACATGTTAAGACTGACAAAGCAATTTTTTAAATAAAAGAAAATTAAATAGTAGTGTTTCTATACTATTTAGTATTTCTTTTGTTGTTTTCATTAAACGTGTTGACTTTGAAAAAGAACCATTAGTATAAAAACACCGAAGGCACTGTTAGCAGGATTGAGATTGAAAAGGCTAAGTCAATTGTAAAGAACAGGAATTTTTTTAATGCAGTACAAACTCAGGAATTTTAGCTTACGTAGTTTCAAAAATAAAACAAAAAGCACTTGTGTGATCAATGTAACTCTAATACAGGACAAGCACCTACAATTGCAAACTCTCTCTAGGGTCCTTTTAGAGTACAGATAGCTGATTTAGTGTCATTTTCTCTCTTCTTTTGGTTCTACTGGAGCCCAGATACAAGCAATATGAACTCTGTTGTCACCTATGACTTTTCTATGATGAAAAAAAGATTAGACTGTTATCTCTTGACTGTGAAACAATGTAAAGTTCATCTGGAAAAGCGTGTTTCAGTGATACTCAATTGTCCTAAGGCTGATAATCAGAGGTGTAAGGTAATTCTAAAAACAATGTACAGAAATTTATAGGAAAACATAAGGCAACCAAGTTTAGAAATAAATTACTTCCACAGGGGATGCGGTTGAAATATCACGAATGCCTACTATTATTTTCATCGCTACTGTTTAGTTTGTATTCTATAAACAATAAATTTTTTCACTCAAATCTATTTTTTATTCAAGAAATGACAGCTGCATAACTTATGACTTTACTACAAACAAAACTTTCAACATATTGCTCTATACTCTCCTAAAGTGTTTGATTAAAACAGTAATAGCTTTCTCTATAAATTGTATAGTTTTACTGAAGGAAGGTAACATTTGCCATTAAAATGGCATAAATTGAAAAAAAAATTATCTAGCAGTCTATATTCTAAAACACTGGATAGTTAAAAAATATTAAAATTTAAAAAGTAGTTATTTATGTCAGTAAACAGAATTTATTAGTAAGCATAAGTCAGACCGGCATGGCCCAAGGAGACAGTGCTGCCAAAGCCTTCATGAGTGCAGAACCCGCCACTTGTCCAAAGGGCCATGACTGGGAACGTACTTGACTCCACAACCGTCAGGGATGAGGCGCTTCTTGGCCACCATGTCTTCGAATTCGTCAGCATTAAACTTCGTGAAGCCCCACTTCTTGGAGATATGAATCTTCTGGCGTCCAGGGAACTTGAACTTAGCCCTGCGCAAGGCTTCAATCACATGCTCCTTGTTCTGAAGCTTGGTGCGGATGGACATGATGACTTGACCAATGTGGACGCGGGCCACAGTACCCTGGGGTTTTCCAAAGGCACCTCGCATACCTGTCTGGAGCCTGTCAGCCCCAGCACAGGACAACATCTTGTTGATGCGGATGACATGGAAGGGATGGAGCCGCACTCGCATGTGAAAGCCATCTCTGCCACAACTTTTCACCATGTACTTGTTGGCGCAAATACGGGCGGCCTCCAGGGCTTCAGAAGACAGCTGCTCATATTCATCAGACACCATGTGGCCACAGAGTGGGAATTCATCCACTTTTGCCTTCTTTCGACCCAGGTCAAAGATGCGGATCTTGGCATCAGGAACCCCTCGGCAGAAACGAGATTTTGGGTACGGCTTGTTCTTACAATACCGGTAACAACGAGCTGGACGGCGGCCCATGGCAACACAGGAACGTCTTCACTGCGTCCAAGTGAAAGTGCGCTCCCTGAACTGCGCCTGCGCGCATCTTATATACGTTGCCCGTCGTCCCGCGCTGGAACCGTAGAGTCCTGAGGAAGACGTGACGACTCTCTTTCGCGACGTCCCAACTAGAGACGCAGCGACGCCTGGAACCTCCGCGCCTGCGCGACTTGGCCTATTGAGGTGAGCAGAGAGGCAGCTGTGGAGTCTACTCTCCCTGGCGGCCAGGCAAGGAATTGGGCCTCGCCTCAACGACGCAGCGGCAGCTTCCTTCCTGCCGGCCATCTTGGGCTAGGAGCTCTTGCTTTCAGCTTTGCCTTAAGTATAAAAGAGGTTATTTCCAGGCAGGAGGATGGCTTGAGCTCAGTTCACGACCACCCTGGGCAATATAGTGAAACTCCGTCTCTACCAAAAAAAAAAAAAAATAGCTGGACATGGTGGCAAGTGCTTGTAGTCCCAGCTACTCAGGAGGCTGAGGTGGGAGGATCGCCTGGGCCCTGGAGGCAGAAGTTGCAGTGAGCTGAGATCACACCACTGCACTCCAGCCTGGGTGACAGAGTGAGACCCTGTCTAAAGAAAAAGAAAAAAAAAAAATCCTAGAATTCGAGAAGAAAAATCCTTCCAGTTATTCAACATACTGTTTCCAGTTTGACCAGTTCATTCTCCAGAGCTTGTATCTCACTGTCAGCATTTGTAGATCAATTGCTGTTTCTTGGAGTATGTGGCCACCTTCCCTGGATAAAGTGGTTTCTTGGCATGAGTGCTTTGATGAGACTCAGGAAGAGATGAGAGGAAGAGTAGAGAGAGGGATAGAGAGAAGATATGTGTTGAATCTGTAGCTTGGCAGTTGTTTTATAAACATGAAACTTTGTTTTTTCTTTGTTTGGCCTAAAGAAATGATTTTTATTATCAAAATGATACATACAAAATTGAAATGCCAACTAGTTTTTTTTTTTTAAACTTAAGGCTATTTGCATTTTCAAATGTTAAAGCTGCTGAAACTATATAAAAGAGTAACAGTTTGTGCTTTAGTAATCTTTTGCCCTTTCTTGAGAGTAAATTTAATCTTTTTTTTTTTTCTTCTCAGAGTTTGTAAAACTATTATGACAAGGATCTGAGTGTAGGAAAGGAGAAGAGAGAGGAAAAGAAATTAATAGTTTACAAACCCTACTTGCATTTTTCTAGCTTTGTTTTTTTTTTTTTTAATGTTGTTTCGCAAATCCATTACATCATGTAACAAAATCCCTCTAATGTGAATATATTCTGTCAATGCTTTTTCTTTTAAGGGAGAAAAATAACTCCTGCCTTTAAAGTGAGTGGATTTTTACAAAATACTAAGGATAAGACAATTAAAACTCCCAATGTAGAAAACTTTCTCGCCTTTAAGAAAGCTTGGTCACTTCCCTTTTCTTCCTTCCTTTTACTTTCCCCTTTTTCTCAACTAGTTCCTGTTTACTATATGCCTGAATATTGAGATAAAGTAGCTAATACTATGTTGCTGTCCCCAAGCTTACAAGCCTTGGAGAGGATTTAGATACCTCTCATATATCATCATATTACCAAGTGTAAAATGTGCCAAAAAGGAAAAGCAAAGTAAGCCCTGAGACCGTGGGGTGAGGCTGGGGATGAGACATTGATCTAGACTGAGGAATGGACAGGAAAATCTTTATCCAGAAAGACATTTCATGTTGTGACCATGGCATATGGGGTCTGATGTATGCTAGACCTGAAGCAGGCAGAAATACGGAACATTTTAAAGAACTTAAAGTTAGGCCAATGTGACTGTGAGTGAGAGGGTGAGTCACATAACATGAGCCCCAGTGTGTGTGTGTGTGTGTGTGTGTGTGTGTGTGCGCGCACGCGCGTATGAGAGAGAGAAAGGGGTCATGCTATCATACAGGGCCCATTTTACCAAGTTAGGGATCCTGATCTTTAATGCGAGGTCATTAAAGAGCTTTGGATAGGTTTTATCACTCTGGTTATGGTATGGTAAATAGACTGAAACAAGCCCAAAAAATGTATGCAAGGAGATCGGAAAGGAAGACTGCAATACTGCAGAAAACACATAATAACTTGAACATACTTTAAAATATTTGACTTTATATACAAGTTAGTATCTTTTTTATACTACTAAATGCCCTGAATCTATGATAGCGCCTCAGGGGGAGGTGTTTGTGAGGCAAAAGGAAGACACCTGGAGTTTATGTGCCACGACACACTGACTTCCACTTGTCTGATCTCCCACCTGTCTAATGTTGCCAAAACCCTAGAATTCTCTGACCAGCAGATGCTGTGTTGCTGTCAGGGCCTGTCTACATAAGTTTCTTTCTTTAATCCAAAGCTTGAGCAATCCTGGTTTGTGCGGGTCTGTACCAGTTTTAACATTCAAGTCCTGGGTCCTGCAACACCCCTTAATACCACAGGAAGTGGGAGGGTTGGCCACCTTACTCCATTCATGCATGAGGCCTTTCACAGTTGCAGATTAGGAGGGAGGAAAGGGAGGGCCACACTGGGATCTTCTATTTATACTCCTTTCCCTAGCCCTGCAGATATAAGAGGAGAGCCTGTGGAAAAATGCATGAAGCATCACCATTCTATTGAAATATTACAAGCATTCCTCTCAATCAATTCCAACATTTTGAGTGTTTCCCTACCTCTCTACTCTTGCCATCCACAGTGTACATCATGCTAAGCAAACCTTGCAACAAATATATAAAACTTGTCTGCTATGAGATATATAGCTATGGGAGACATTAATATCATGTAAAATAGAGATGGCTTAAAGAATGGGTAGAACATTCACAAGTAGAGATACAGGATAAGGTAGGAATGAAGCAGAACAACTTTTTAAAACCATTAAGATATATGAGGACAGAAGTATCTCTATCTGGTTCACAGTTTTGTACCCTGTTTTTGGCACATTGTGTGATCAGTAGCACAATGAATACACACACTACAGAGGTGCGGTGCGGTGTTAATAAACATTTAACAACCTGCTCATGGTGGAGGTCAGGATTTTGAGGAGAAATCCCTGATTTGTAGTGTTTGATGATTTATTTGGTAGAAATACTTTTTCTGTCATCAGTTTCAAACATCAGTGTGATTTACTGAACACAAAGATGGGTAGAGACGTGCACTATCAGCTTCTGTAAGCCAGTGTTAGCCAGCTCCAGCATGCTGCCATTTGGTGTGTATACACAAGACAGAAAAGACAAACTTGTCTTTGCTAATGCTAATAATGCATATCCTGTAATAATAATTTTTGGAATGATCAGGGAGAAGTCTTTTTTAGGAGCCCTTAGAAAGCAGACAGGCATGAATGTTTAAACTTGATTCAGCTTTGGCTGTGAAACAGTTTCCCTCTGTGGTTTCTCCCTCCGGTTCCACAACCCTTATGTGAAAGGCCTGCACTGTTCTTTACTTATTGATTGTAAGTACTTTCCTCATTGATTACTTACTTGTAATTAGCGCTAGACAGTGTGAGAAATACAATCAAATTCCAGATATCCTCTGTCTTCATGCAAAGGCTGGAAAAGAACAGTTCTGTTTATTAGTTCAACATAGCATTTACTTTTCTTTTTTGATATCATCTTTCAAATGTTTCACAATGGGCTAAACCTGACTTTGTTCTCAAAGGGGAACATGCACTGGAGTCTGATGAACTGAGTGGCACACACCGTGGATGCCCTCTCCTGCTACAGGAAGCATCTGCATTGTTGATCATTCAGTCATTGTATGGAGGACCATCACTGGGTGCTTTACAATATACTGAGATTCATAGATCATGTTCCACTTGGACTCTCAATGAAGTGTGAAGGCTCCACTGATGACAGTCATTTTCATCTGCATTTCTTAGTAACTTCACACTGGGGGCTGTAATCTCAATGTTTTTGAGACTAGGTGAGCAATTTGACTGTCTGTATACAGTATTCCTAGAATTGAATCATGAATATAAAAGAGCCATGGTTATGGTGGATTGTGCCTATTGTCATGGCTAATGAGTGGTCATGCTGCCTGTCTCTCATGCACTGGATTCACAATGGTCTCTTATCTAGTGACAAGAAAACATGCAGAAATGCACATTTTTTGAACAGAAATATAGTCATATAATTTTAACTCCTTAGCCCAGAGCCCTAATACATTTTGCTTTTGACTGGCATTTTCTACATTCTTCTTCTTCTTTCTTTGGGAACCTTTTTTAACTTTGGATATGGGAACTGAACATGTACACTTACCTTTGTAGTTTGCTTGTGGAGAATGAGTTTCCCCCAAATGAATGACTTTTGACGTTGTTCCAGAAAGCTGGAAAAAAGTAGGAAAGGATTAAATCAGGGAGAGGAGGCACACAAATATGCTCGCTAAAATTTGGTTATTTTTTTTTTCCTTATGCATTTTAAATTTACTTGTTTAGGTTTCATACTTGTACAAAATGTATAAGCCACTAATTAGTTTTATATGGTAAGTAATTGAAATGTAGTTTTATAATTATGAACGTTTAAGCCATGCTATAATAAAGATATGATATGTAATAAACAATTTGAATCAACATAAGACTGTACACCAGTTTTTGAAAGCCCTTTTCTCTAAAAAGGGATTAGTTCAGTCTGCAAATTTGAGAAACACTGATCTGGGGTTAGGGTGCTGAGTATGAAGTTTGCCCCCCACATATTGAATGCATAGCCTTCCTGTGCTTTAGATCCAAATTCCTGTCTATTCATTTAAAAGGCATACTGATGAGAGCAGTGTTGTTACTTCCTTTGCCCAGTTTACTTAGCCGTAGTTTGTGTGGTTTACAAGGTTTACAGAAATGCATGAAGCACATATTTAGCTAACTATATAGATTATTTAATCATTCATATCACAACAGCCAACTCTATTTCAGGTTAAATTCATCTTGTACTTTTAATGGATGACTCCTTTATCCATTAAACAGATTATTTTTTTTAATTTTGAAAGTTAGCAATCAACTTTAGTAATTACATTATAGATTATTTATTTATGAAACTACTAATTCCAGTTGATAAAGCACTTTGGAAAGCTTTTTAAAAAGTTTTGCTTCACTTATTGTT